TCTTTAAGACAGTGGCTGGTATCCCATCTCCACCACTCGCCTTGTTGGGATCTAAATTGGAGATAACGCCCTGTACCAAAGTTGGGGTTATGTTTAACCCACTCAATATGGCCTCAATTCTAAGAGGGAAGTCGGGTATGGGTACACCTGAAGAGTCGAGCGTCGAGTTGGATGAAAATTTCCGAGCAAAGCATTCAGCCTTGTCGGTAGAGGAGGTCAAGACTTCGAACTGGTTGAATAAAGGAGGTATAGATGGTTTGAAATTGTTCAATACACTCTTGCAGAGACGCCAATAATCTTTGGAGCCAAATTTGCGAGATGCAATACGTTCCTTCATTCGAGCCGCAAATAGTGACTTAGCATCATTGGGGACACGCTTACATTCGTTCCGGGCGGAGGCAAAGAGACGTCTATTGCAGTCAGACATGTCGCTACGGTATAGGTGGAAGTAGTGGTTCCTATGGGCGATGGCGGCTGAGCAAGCAGCCGAGAACCAGGGGCAGGAGCGCGACTTGACCCTATATTTCCTTGATGGTATGAAAGCGTCGATTCCAGTTTTAACCCAGGAAGAGACCTCAGAAGCACATTCTTGGACGGGGAGCTTAAAGACTCCATCCCAGGGGACATCGCGGAGGAAATCACGGAACGCGTCCCAGTCAGCTCGTTGATAATAGAACGAAGTTCTAGTGGTAGGAGGTTCTTTATAGGGGGTGGAGTTAAAGGAGATGTTAACCGATACTACTGCATGGTCAGAGTTACCAAAAGGGCAGAGTTGCGAGGCGCTGCAGGATTCGGGGATGGAGATAAAGCACAGGTCGAGTAGAGAGGCTTTACCTTCCCGGTTGAAGGCAAAACGAGTGGGGAAGTTAACTATCTGTGTGAGGGAGAAATTCCGGTCCGAAAAGTTAACAAAGAAAAAAACGAGAAAAGTGGAAAATTGAATGTCTTTGACGAGATGCGAGGGTGTCTCGTCAGTATTCTAACGATGTTGTGACAGTATCTTTTTGCTTGATATATTGTCTGAAAGTGGAATTGTTTTAGCCCCTTCTATCTCCTCTTTCCAAATCTTAGTTATGGGCAAATGGTGACCCTACCCACAACAAAACACAATGAAAATATAAAAATATATTTTTATAGTAAAAATAACAGCAGTACATTTTTATATGAAATTAACAATAATACGCATGTAGCAGCAAAACACAATTCACGCATAGTTAAAGATGACACATTTTTAGGGCATATAATGAGGAAAGAGGGCTGCCGTGCCTCTTACATGTTTCTACACAAACTGGATGTTGATCACTCGACGACCCAAAGTAGATTGCGTAAATACGTTTTCTGCGCATAGGCTCTACGCATACATCCGCTTTAACCAAAATGAAACGAACAATTTACTGGCCAGTCAGAGATAATCTCGTTCAAAAAAACAAAATTTTCATCATCATCCTCATATTTCCCATCATCATCTTCATCATTTAACTGTTTATGACGATAAACACCATATAAAAGCAAGGCCTCTGGTCGGGAGATTGAATATTTTGAGAAGCGTGGAACGACCTCTTAATTGCTGTTGATCCCAGGTCTACTCAGGGTGGTAGCACCTGTTAGGGCCCCAGTTATGGGCAAATGGTGATCCTTCCCCAAGAAAACACTATGAAAATATAAAAATACATTTTTTATAGTAAAAATAACTGCAATAATACGCATGTAGCGGGAAAACACAATTTACGTATAGTTAGAGATGACAAATTAAAGCCAAATTTATACAATTATTAGAAAGCATATATCTCTATCTACACATGCATTTTCGTCTAGCCAAGACATACAGACCCTGCACTCTACTCATAACAAATTTTAAAACAAACAAAAAAATTCCAGTCTGATAGTCATTAATGAGTCGGCTCACGTTTGCCAGATTCCTACAACTACGTCCGCGTGTTTTCCTTATATAGACTATAAGAGAAACCGAACCTTTAGCATAGTGAACAGAAATCGGAGAGATAGATTTCACGCACATAGGCTAACCTCAGTGGCTACCCGGAGCACGGCTGACTGCCCGTCCGACCATTGTGCTGTGAAAATGACCTCCTGTGAACACAGAATAAATATAGACTACTATTAACACGACAAGCCCAAGCAGTCAGCAGGTTTATGCATACTCCTTTTTTACGCACTCACTTCACACCTCGTACACTGTATATTCGAACGCTACAGTATATCACTTACCAAAAACATTTTCATACCTTGTAAATGAAAGTAAATCTTTGGTCATTTCTCCAAACCAGCGTCTAAGTGTGTTTCTCTACTCCAACCAACGTCCACTGCGGATGTACACGTATATATTAATAAACTGTAATGACTTCACCCAAATCCGCTTAAAATACTACCAAACAGCCAACGTGAAGAACTTTTTCATGACATGAATCCTACAATTTCTTTTTTAAAAAATCAAACTGTATTCCAAAATATAACTTCAAAAAACAGCAATATAAAAACACGTATCACCTCCTCTATAAATTATGTCCACACAAACATGTACATACACAAAAGCGTTGTATCATCTACCATGTACTCAACTGTGAAAGTAGAATAACATATATCATATTTTTATTTCTTCCACGCTCCCAAGAAAAATAAATTTCGGCATTAAACGACCCATAACGAGTTGATGAGCCGTTAAACAGACAAATCATTCAACCAATCTTTTAAGACAGTAATTACTAGCATTATTATTACAGTTTCTGTTATTCTTATTACAAATAATAATATTAACTTTTTAAATATCTTATAACATCAGGACGTTGGAAATAATGGCTCGCCACAGCTTTCCGTTCTTTAATATTGACACGACTCCTTAGGAAAGATAGCGGAATGGTTTTCTGTAGTATTCTTCAGTTTTGAATTCTGAGATGTTCACCTAAATTGGCTGAAATCCAAAGATCGAAAAATCGGCCGGTTTCGGTATTAAAAGCATAACTTTTATTTTCGTTATCCAGTCTATAATATAAAACTCTTTGTCTTAGCTGAAGCACCCGATTGTCTGTATTTGATTTTGTACTTACTTTCCACACAAGAAGGAACTAGTTGCTTCCACTGGAGATGTTAGCAACAATTCTCAATTCCCCTGTTCTCTCACCTTATTAGAACTGTTTTTTTGTTTTTTGGGGTTTTTTTTGTTTTTGTTTTTTGTTGGTTTTTTTGTTTCTTTGTTTCTTTGTTTGTTTCTTTGTTTGTTTCTTTGTTTGTTTGTTTTACAAGGCAGGTAATCCTCTTGTTTAAATGGTTTCAATTCTTCGTCGGATCTCCAAGTTTTATGAAATATTTGCATGTTCTTCAGGATTGCTCCTTAGTAGTGGACACTAATTCATTATTACTTTGTTTATTGACATTTCTTTCATCCTAATTTTTTTACTGATTTTCTTCAGAGCGATTCAAACCGTCAAAGAGTGTCAGCAAAAAGTGTACTGAAGGCCTGAATAGATATGATGAAAATTAATTAAAATTAAGATAGAAGAAATACTAGTAAAACAAATAGTAATAATCCCTAGTATAATTTAAAAAATACAAACCAATATAATATTATTATCACATATCATGTTCCATATTTTTCAGTTCTCTTCCAAAGTCTAGATATATTCGTATTTCATCTTTTCAGATTTAGTCTGTGATCTGCTAGAATAGCGAAAGCCACTAGTTGGTAAATTTTCTTCTCGTTATCGACGATTATTAGATCTGGTCTGCTGGCCTGGATTGGGCGATAAGTTCCAAGTTTCAAATCATAAATATATTTATGATTTTTATTATCTAAGCCTGAGTCTGGATTGCGTATACACTCTATTTTGTGTGGCCAAAATACCAGTTTTTTGCATAGTTTTTAGTGGACCCCCTTCCAACCCAGTCATGTTTATATCTGTTCACTTTCTGAGACAATTGCATGACTAACAGCCTCATCTTTATTTCTCCGTTCACGATTCTGCCATGTTCTCTTCATATTGTCTTTAATAACACAATTTATATCCGAATTTCTGATTGAGGAGATATTATTTATACACTATTTATAGTCAGACTATTTTCTTCATCTTTATTGTTATTATCAAAACGTTTCGACTGTTGCATCCTTCAGTATTCTTCAGATGTCTGACGATTTCGGTAACCTTCAACGTATTTCGAACTGAGCCATTTATTTCTGTGGTAGATTGTTCTCATTCCGATCTCCATGCCTTAGGTTAATATACGTAATTAGTTCTTTCTGGATTGTTATGGAGCAACACTAATATGACTATTGTTCCTATGCTTAAATTACCTACTTTGTAACCAAGTCTTTATCCTATCATTTACTATATCAATTATTATTATTATTATTATTATTATTTTGTCATTCATCTCACTTCCAGTCGTCGCTGCTTGCTTCTTTATTCGTTTTATCGTTGAATTAATTTTATTATTGACATTTATTTACTTTTAAATTAAAAAAAAATAAAATAAAAAGATTTTTTTTTTAATTAAAATAATCCAAAATGAAACTAAAATGCTCCAGCGTAAAAAAATAAAAGCACTTATAATTGATTAATGATACTTGTTTCGTAGAAGGTCATTTTTTTTTTCATACAAAATGATTCATTTCCGTTATCAATTTCCTGTCGAGTAAATTGGCGGGAAAATATGGAAAAGTAAAATGAGAAAGTCCGTTGTACGCATGCGTGCTATGCCCTGCCGTTCGCAGATGTGCGCCATTATTTCTGCTTGTGCATCAACAGCTAAATTCTTAATAACAATCAGCTCGACGTATTTCTCTTTTAAATAACTCTCCTTCTTCTCTCCCCCTTCTCTCTCCTCTCTCCCCCTTCTCTCTCCTCTCTCCCCTCTCTCTCTGTCTCTCTCTCTCTCTCACACACACACACACACACACACACACACACACATACACACACACACACTTTATCTATGTGAGTCTCAGGTGAACATCTTTCCTTCCTCTTCTATCTCTATTTCTACTCGGTTTACGGCCATATCACGTTGAAACATCGGTTCCTGTACGATCACTGAAGCTAAGCAACATGACCCTTGTCAGTACTTAGATGGGTGACCGCTTGAGAATACAAAGTACTAAGTTGAATGTGTGGGCGGTGTAAGAGACAATGGCTCAGAATTATTAATCGCAAATCCAAGTTCACTTCGGTTCGTTATATTCACTTACGTGCAAATATCCTTGGGAAAGGTATGAACCCACCTCTTCCCTCTCCAGCTATGGATTAATTAGTAAGACTTATATCGCTAAATCATTATTATATATAAAAAAAACATTCTTACAATATATATGTTCTGGTCTTAAATAACCTGCAAAGAATAGTAGAAAAATAATCAATCAATTTTTATAGACAGTCACACATACACAACAACAATGGCATATATATATATATATATATATATATATATATATATATATATATATATAGTCGACTCTCCGTCGAAATTCGACGTATGAGGGTCAAGGAAACCGACAGCCCGACACCGGCACATGAGATTTGATTATAGTGGTGAAGGTTTCGTGCAGGACCATCCACACTTTTTGAAGGGCCGAATACAGAGACCTGGTGCACTAAGTGTCACAAGGTTCCCAAACGACCCTCCGCAGGTTTTGAATTCAGAGTTGTCCTTCTCCTATATATATATATATATGTGTGTGCGTGTGTGTGTATTAAAACAATAAAATCCCAAATCACTTCATATGGGGAGTAAGTAATTTCGACCGATGGTATATTTCATCGTTCGAAATAAGCTTATTCTTCATATGTGGTGATTTGGGATTTTATTGTATATTAATTTTTGCTCTGATATAGTAAATACATTGAGCTCTTTTTTGTGGAGCAGTTTTAATATTTCATATTACTAGGATACACTTGGATTATATACCAACGGATTTATTACGTTTACTATATATATATATATATATATATATATATATATATATATATATATATATATATATATATATATATATTAAAAGAAAAGAGAATCCTCAAAAGTATTTGGTTGTAATGTGGATTTTAAAAAAAAATTATGCATTATTTTCCATAACTTTGCTACACGTGTTTTAAGACGTTTGGATCACTAACACAAAGAAAGAGAATGTCACATATCGAGAATATTTAACATCGAAAAACATAAAAAAATGAATTATTTTTAATACTATGTGGAAATCTCCACCCTTTGCCTGATGACGGTCGCGAGACCGGAAACGCGTGTAGCAAAATTATGGAAAATAAAGCATAATATTTTTTTAAAATCCACATTACAACCAAAAACGTTTGCGGTTTCTCTCTTCCTTTTAATATACACACTTTTCTCTCGTTGGAACTACTACAACCTCTTCCTTTTTATATATATATATATATATATATATATATATATATATATATATATATATCAATTGTAATTTAAGCATTAATTTCTTTTAATTATTTAAACAAGAAATGAATAAAAAAAACGCAGTTATGTTTTCCAAAACTTAACAAAACCCCAAAATATTCAAGAAAAATTGACCTAAAAATAAGTCCCGTCACTGACAACGGAAATAATATTGTTAAATTATTTTTGACACTCGGATCGGAAATATAAAAAAGAAGGAAAAGAAATAATGACAGAGTATAAGGATAGAAGAAAATTATGAAAAGACAAATAATCACAATATTCTACAAATGTGCACATGCATAGACGTACAGGCGTACACAAACATAAACATGCACACACACATACACACAACTAAGAAAAAAGTCAAACTAACACTAATGATAAAGCGCATAAATTATTTTAAACTTAATGTAAATATAACGAAAATGAGAAAAAGCTAATGTTGCGAAGCTTGAGGAGGTAAGTATAAAATCAAGTAAAGAAGATTGTTGATCAGTTTTATTAGGGAATTTGAGCAACAGAAAAATTGAAAGTCTGAATTCCGACAAAGGAACATTAGAATGCTTAAGCCACTTTTTTGCGATGCACATTAAAATGACCAAACACAAAAAAAAACGTTCGCAGATGGACAAAAAAAGAGAGAGAGAGAGAGGGGGGGAGTCATTTCTATGCTGTCTGAAATGTTGTCTAATATATTACAGTCCTGACAAGAGGGAGAGTAAAAGAGAAAGAAAAGGTACCTACAGAGTGTAATAAAGAAAGTCGAAAGCACCTGAAAGAACTGCCTCGGGAACTCATCAATAATTATAATAACGTAAAAACGAAGGACATATTTTTATATAGACTTTTGTCCTTATTTTGGGATGAGGAAGCCACTCACAAAGTCTGTAAAATTATTTTCGACACACCCTATATATATATATATATATATGTGTGTGTGTGTATATATATATATATATATATATATATATATATATATATATCTTGAAGATGTTAGTTAATACGAATTAGAAACGTTGAGTTAAATATAAGATTGTATTGAAAAGTTCTCGACCCGACCAAGCAGGTATTCTCACACCAAATTCCAATGTTTCGACATTTTATCAGACTTTTGGAAGCAAGGAACTTTTCAGCACCCTCCTCACATAGAATAATCCTGTTTAATAAGGACTTTTATCTAAAACACAAAAACGTTTATGTTTTAAATGTGAAACTGAGTTCAAGCGTAAAATGTAAATTGTTTTATCTCAACACAAATTCTCCTGATCGATAGCAGAGAAAAGGCGAATGCAATTTCCGACTCGGAATCAATTTTTGAAAACCAAATGTAATTTACACCTTTAAACACACTGGAAATAAAGTTAGTTTATCTCCTCCCTCTCACCTGAACATACCTGTAGCTAAGTAGTTGATAGTAAATTCCCCAGCTGAAAACATGACTAATGAAATAACGGCCTGGATATAGCGATGCTGCGTACGTGAATTTAAAAAAAATCAGTAATGTTCTATGGCACAGACTTTCTCGCTTGCTGTTTCAATGTCATCAGTTCTTCATCATGAAATAAATATTACGTTGAAGCTCTAATTCTAAGTACCTGAGTTCGAATCACACTAAGGTTATTGATCATTTATTCGCAGTCTACTTTGGGTTGTCGAGTGGTCAACATTGGGTTTGTGTAGATCATTTCTTACCTCTTTGTATCAGACTGAATGACATGGGAGGCGTTGAATTTGTAAACTATGTTGGTTTTTTGCAAATCGCTAACGGGGAGGGGGGAAGAATCATTGTGAACAATTAAGTTGGATATACCAGATTTAGTGTAGTATATGATCAACGTAATTTTTTGCTAGGATCTGTTGTTGATATATTAGTATTTACTAATTTTTTAGTATATTTTCATCTTGTTTATAATTAGTATGCATTTGACTACGATATAAAAGATTAATATGTTTGGGATTAATTGAAGCAGCATTATGTTCTGAAATCTCTGCAAATATTCTTAAATGCCTATAATTGATAACAGACACCACTGGTTTATACCAACGGCTTCCCATACTTAATACTTCTCGTTTTCACTCTCACGTGGTCATGTGTGGCGTCACGAGCTGCGACGCGATTTTCGTTTCCGTGTCTCGTATACACGAGTTAGTCTTTGCTTTGAAATTTTTCATGCAACAAAAACAGACTATCATTATTGTTTCGTCCGTGTATTGCTTGATATATAGAAAAGTATCTGTCATCTTTGATAATGGCTTATGTAAGCCGAAAGCTTAGATTGGATTTAAACATGTATCAATATGGTGATTTCCTTTCGTCTTTCAATGATAATGTTATTAAGCTTATCAGACAATATGAAAGGAACTTACTTAAAATAAATAAACAAAACTTTATATTATTTAATGAAACATATATATATATATATATATATATATATATATATATATATATATATATATATATAGATAGATAGATAGATAGATAGATATAATCTCCAGTTCATGATCGCAAAGGTTATGAATTAAGTACTGATAAACCAAAAGTATGTTATTTCTTTTCCTCGTATCTCGATCGGCTTTTTTTATTTTAGGTCGTTTTATTCTACAGCATTCACGTAAGCTTATTCTTCGGAATAACAGCCACTGTTTTAAAATTGCCTTGTGCACAAAGCTCACAGAAATATATTTTTCTATTGATCTTTCACAGCAACTACCTCCGCATTAGAAATTTCTTCTGCGCTGTCCTTTATAGCGTTTCATTACTGCCACTTCCCGTGATAATGCTTCTATTTCATTCTCTGTTTTTATATAGCGTGTACGCGTTTGTTAGCTCTTTCGTGATGACATTAATGCCAAAATAGAATGGTACTTGGGTTCTTATGTTTCGCACATATCGACTCGATACGCAAAGCCGGTGTCATAAAAACCAACCGGGCTATAAAATTGCATTAAACACAAACATTATGAATATGAAGACGGTGGATGGAATATTACGACAAATACTAACAGAGCATATATAAGCTGCCTAAGGTGAAGTATCAACATTGAAAAAGACAAATGGTGTTTACGCCTTCACTGTAGAAATGGTTTGTCTCTTTAACTCTTCCTACAGAAATGATTTTGAGAATTCGTTTTCTTTTGTGTGCTGTGTCCCTTCAGGACGTAGGCGATCATGGCCCTCCACATCTTCCTGTCCCTTGCAGCTCTTAATAAATTTTGTCTTTTGTTATTTCACCCAAACCATTTTCTGACATCCATTTGCTCAAGCCCATCATGTACGTCACGCCCTGTTTTCCTCTGACCCTCTGTTTCCCCCCCCCTATCTGTCCTGTATCGGATTTTTTTCAAGCCTTCCTTCTTCATTACCTGCCCTAGAAATGTTAACTGTCTCTTCCTGATGTTAACTATGTTTCCTTCTTGTTTCCATTCTCTCCAAAGCCTCGTCGTTGATCATATGTTCAGTCCATGGTATCCTCAGCATCCTTCTTAAAGAACCACATTTCTGTTGCTCCAAGTCTTATCTTCATCTTTGGGTTCCATCATTAATCGGTATATTTTTAGCCTTTGCCGCACTCAGTTCAATTAATTCATACTGATATAGGCAGAATAAATGTGTCAATATGTGGTTATTAAAAATAGATATAACAGGCCATCTTCTGTTCCTAGAAATATAAAAATATTTCTGTAAAGCTATTTA